TGAGGGACAATTTTGGTACCAAAGTGACAAGTTAAGGGACCAAAATGGTACTTAAACCTTTTTTAGTAATAAGAGAACTGAAATTGTGATTTGGATGAAAGGCAACCATTTCAGAAGTGAGCTAAGGGGAAGTAAGCCACTTCAGACGAAGTAAGAAGAGGTGAATAACTTCCATGTAGATTAGGAATGAGTACATCATTGCGAACGAACTTAAAAAGAAATCAAGTACTTCACATGTGAAGTAACTTTTATTAAGCAGAAGTGAGGCTTAAGTACTAATTGACCTCGGATACATGGAAAAAGAGATAAAATCAATTTTAACAAACACGAAGTGAAAAGCATAAAGAATAGTAAGACATAGATTGCTTGGAAGAATTTCATTAGGGGTAAAATTTCTTCAAGTTATTGACATTCCAGACTCTAGGAACTCTTTTTCCTTCAGCGTCTTGGAGAATATAGGCACCAAGATGTGGCACTTCGGCCACGGCATAAGGACCTTCCCAATTTGGGGCAAGTTTGCCAAAACGAGTTTCAAACCTCGTTAGGCCAGCTTTCCTGAGAACAAGGTCTCCTACTTTGAATGTTCGAGGGCGAACCCGTTTATTGTAGAAGTTGGCTAGCTTCTGCTTGTATACAAGAGTTCGAAGTCGAGCTTCTTCTCTGACTTCGACAAGCAGATCAAGGTTTTCCCGAAGCAGTTGTCCAATTCGTTCTTCATCGAAATGGGTGACCCGGAAGCTTGGGACTCCTATCTCAACAGGAATGACTGCTTCGGTACCAAAGGCCAGGTGATAGGGTGTTTCACCTATTTCAGCTAATTATAACTTTAGAATGTGCTTTATGCATTATGCATATTTGCTCTAAGGTAAAGCATGGCAGAAGAAGTGAAATACTATAGAAATTAATCGAATAAACTCGGTTTAAAGTAGTACCTGTGGCAGTTCGGCTCGTGGTTCTGTATGCCCAGAGGATGTTGTTGAGCTCGTCTGCCCACTTGGCCTTATGCTGCTCCAATCTCGGCCTTATTCCCTCCAAAATGCATTTGTTAACAGATTCTACCATGCCATTGGACTCTGGATGGTAAACGGAGGTGAATTGTAACTTGATGCCATAACTAGAACAGAAATCTCGGAACGAGGAACAATTGAATTGAGTTCCATTATCAGCCACAATTTGATTCGGGATCCCATATCTGCAGATGATTGAGCTGAAAACAAAATCTTCGACCTTCTTGGAGGTAAGACTAGATAAAGGCCGAGCTTCAACCCATTTTGTGAAATAATCCACACCGACAATCAGATGGGTTACACCACCAACCCCTTTCACAAATGGACCCAAAAGATCTAGTCCCCACTGAGCGAATGGCCACGGCGCTACCAAGTTCGTGAGCTCTTCTGCTGGTTGATGAGTCAGGTGTGCGAAGAATTGACATTTCGAGCATTTCTGAACAAAGTAAGTGGCATCTTTGCACATGTTTGGCCAGTAGTATCCTTGTCTTAAGACTTTGTGAGCCAGAGTTCTAGCACCGACGTGGCTCCCATAGACACCTTCATGTACCTCTCGAAGTGCGTATTCAGCTTCATAGGGGTTTAAACACCGTAGAAGAGGAAGTGAGAAAGATCTCTTATACAGGACTCCATCAACAAGTGTATATCGAGATGCTTTCTTCCTCAATTTCATTGCCTCCTGCTTGTCCTCAGGTACTATCCCATCTCGTAAGAAGGAGACAATTGAATCATTCCAGTTCGGCGTATCATGGTTTGTGCTAATCTCCATCACCTGAGGCTTCGTGAAGCTTGGTTCATCTAAGACCTCTACAAAAACGGATCTGGAGCTGAAAGAGCTATCAGAGGCAAACTTGGATAGTGAATCTGCTTGTTCGTTCTCAGCTCGGGGGATTTTACTCAGACAGAATTTCTGGAATTTGCACTTCAGCTCGGCCACCAAGGTTACATACTTTACCATCACAGGATCAACGACTTCGCAAATAGAGTTGATTTGGTTTACCACCAGTTGGGAGTGACTGTACACTTGAATTGCGCTGATTTTCAACTCTAATGCTAGTTGTAGGCCGAGTAGCAGGGCTTCATACTCAGCCATATTATTTGTCGCATCAAAGTTGAACTTCAAAGCGTGTTCGCTTCGATAACCGTCTGGTCCAATCAAGAGAGCTCCAGCCCCTAAACCTTTGCTACTAGATGCTCCGTCAACATATAAGGTCCATTCGTTGGGTTCTGGAGTAGAGGTTGAGGGACATGGGGTGCATTCAACAATAAAATCTGCTAATGCTTGGGCTCGGATGGCCGACCTCTGCTGAAACGTGATCTCAAACTCCCCCAGTTCTACTGCCTACTTAATTAATCTTCCAGAGCACTCTGGTTTCTGCAGAATCTGCCGGAGGGGTTGATCTGTGAGGACGATGATAGGGTGTGACTGGAAATATGGCCTCAACTTCTTGGCCGAAGTGACAACTGCCAGTGCGGCTTTCTCCGCTATAGGATATCTCAGCTCTGCCCCATGCAATACACTGCTGATATAATAGATTGGTTTCTGTTGCTTGGTTTCTTCTCTCACTAGAACTGAACTAATGGCTTCATCTGAAATTCCCAGATACAAGTAAAGAATCTCCCCATCTA